CTGCTTCGAGGGCCCTCCGCTAAGGTGGCGCGCCGAAACCAGAGAAAAAAAGAGACCACCAAAAGCAGGCTCATTGGCAATCTCCCTACTCATCTCTGCCCGTAGTCTCCTTTGTTACAATTTAACATTACGACCAATCACAATATGCCAATGCTTATGTACGTTGGCAAGAGGTACCACTCTATTTTAAAGTTTCAAGCTGCTTGCTGCTCGCTTCTCGCTTCCCGCTGCTTTCGGTCTGAATGAGCCGTAACTCAAATGTAGTGAAAATACGAAAAGTGAATAGCTGTTAACCAATCGTTGTGCTTATCTTCTTTTGAACCTAATACGCGATTGGCTAACAGCTATTTACTTTTCGTATTTTCACTACGTTTGAGTTATACAATTGATCCCCAATGTACTTCAGTGAACTAAGTTCAGGCATATGTCTTCATTTGAGGATAAAGCCATAAGAAAAAGAAGGAAGGGAATTCAGTTTTTTTAGCATGCCACATAATCTATTTGGGGAATATCGGAGCAGTTATTGTCACGTGTAATTAAACTGAAGGCATGTAAATACTACTATTTTTTATTAATTTCTATTAAGATATTGCATATATTCACCGAAGAGATATTAGTAAGGGCCACCCTGATTGTACTTTGAGTGTATGGTTACTGTACACAGTAGGCACTAGAGGTTCTGGAGGGGGTTAAAATGCCCTACAATTCGTTTCAGCTACAGAGTAGATAGGAGTCAGTATTCTACTGCTCTTAACCAATATCTCCTCGTTGGTGCTACACACCCAAATCTGGCCTGATAGTTGTGTGTTAAATTTTTACATCACACATGCCGAGTTAATTCATTTTTTTAAAATTATCTATGATAATAAAGTAACGTATGATTTTATTGAAGTGATATAATCGACGTATTTTGATCGTTTTTTTTATTGATATGAAATTGTGCAACTTGTTGCAGATGGCTGAGGATGAACCAGTTGCACCTGTCCCAGAGGGGTATAATATATTTTATAATTACTTTTTTTAAATAAAATATTTTGTTGTAAATACTAGCATTGCCACTCTCATATATCTTTTATGAACTATTAACCTTCAGACTGCCAGTAAAATGAGTCGAAAAGTTCCGCAGACTTGCCCCGAAAAATTATATATATCAGGTGTACCTTATATGAAGTTATTGACAACGTCCGAGCCACTATAGTGGCTTTCCGGCGGGGAAGAGTAGGCAGAAATGAAAAATTGTTCACTTTCGCAAATGAAGTGTTTCTAAGGGTATTTGAGGTCGCTGATTACAATTATGAATTTAGATTTTGAAAATTTGCAACGGTTGAACCATTATTGAAACCCGAACTTGAGCAAATGTTGGAAATTTTGTAATTTTCCTTTAGCATTACCCAGAGCTAACAATGTGGACGAAGAAAATATTTGCAGTTCTTATTTTTTTGTTTTTTCTTTTGGTTGTTTTTTTGTTTGTTTTTGTTTATAATTTCTTTATTACTTCAGGACAGGTGAATATTCTTGTACAGGTCCCTGTTAGTGTTTAAGCCACTAGTGGCTTGCCGGCAGTCTAAAAGTTAAAAATGCAAAGATAATGCAGACATGTGATTATTTCTAATAACATTTGGTCAGTCAAAATCAATAGTTAAATAGTAAAAACACGAATCATTTACATTATTGATTTGTACAATAATATTAATTACCATAAGAAATATTTGTTTCATCCGATAACTTTTATCTGAATCGAAGCTTAATATATGTAGTAAAACTGCAGAATGCAACTTCTTCTTAAAGTGCTTCATGTTAAAAAAAAAATGAATAACCTATAGGTAATTTCAAGAAGGAGTTGTATATTGCAGTTTACTAACATATCTAATTTACACTAATTAGCCATAAGAATTTGATATTACAGTAACTCTTTTCTATATCCATGTTTTAATATCAATTGATATGGAAAAGTTGTATTAAATCCACTAAGTTATATCATAAATACACAATTTCATGCTTGTAATTTTGAGTCTCCTGTCATGTAATACCATGAGAGGTTATTACATCATAATAATCATGCACTTAGGCAACTTCAAAAAACAATTTCATACTCTGCAAGCTTTATAAGATTAATTTGATATGCATACATAATATACATCTATTAAGTAAATTTGACTTAATATTTCTTTCTTATCATCTACTTTATATTTGCTATATCTATAGAAGTGTTATAAATAAACTGCACAAAAAGAGAGTGACGTGATTATTCGGTTTTCTACTGTAATTGTTGAAACATATATATCTATTTCATAGTTCAGTATCAATGATGCAAGAGCAAAGTTCAAGTATTTCATAAAGGGACAAAACATTAAACTCACATGGTCATTTATCTAGCAACAAATAAATGGTTCGTTTAATTGCTTTTTAGAAAGTAATATTGTGAGCTGTATTTTTGCAAATCCATTAATTTTATTGTGAGGTGCGACTTCATAACACTTCATATCTTTAATAATTTTTATGAGCAACAAAAATATTGCAATTCAAAGTCAGTATTGGTCCTCTATCTTTGGAAGCTTGAATAAAGGAGAAAAACAGTGTAGTACAATTTACTTGAAACAGCCCACATTGTATAATCTCTCTATTTTACAGAGGAGAACCTTCAAAGAAGGCTTTGAAGAAACAACTGAAAGAAGCTGAGAAGACTGCAAAAAAAGCTGAACGTAAAGCACAAAATGTAAATTAATTGTTAACATTAATCTTTATGATTTTTTAAATCATTTATCAATAATTGTATTTTCAGGAATCTCAGCAAACAAGTAATGATGTTGGACTGGACATTTCATTGGAAAGATATGGGCAGTTTGATATGATTCAGAGTAAGGAGCAACATGAGGAGAGAAAATTTATGCACGTTAAAGATTTGAATCCAACTGTAGCTGATCAAACCATGTGGTTTCGAGGTCGCGTGCACACGAGCAGAGCTAAAGGTGTGAATATGGTCATAGAATACGTGTTATTACTATAAACTTAACTATAATTTCTTAGTAATTTAACACTTTTAGGGAAACAATGCTTCATTGTGCTGAGACAGCAGTCTTACACAGTTCAAGTTCTTATTGCTGTAAATGAAAAGATAAGCAAGCAAATGGTTAAGTTTTGTTCAAAGTAAGTATATTAATGTCAATGAAGTACAATGGCCTTAAATTGGTTTTACATCATTTTTAAGCTTATAGATATTTTCACTTTTTTGCAGCATAACCAAAGAATCCATTATAGATGTGGAGGCAATAATAAAGACTGTTCCAAAAAAAATCGAGTCCTGCTCGCAAAAGGATATAGAATTACACGTAGAACAAATATTTGTAGTTAGTGCAGCTAAGTCACAACTACCACTTCAAATAGAAGATGCTTCAAGACCTGTTACAGAATCTGATGAGAATAGTTTAAATATTCGTGTCAATCAAGACACCAGATTAGATAACAGGGTCCTCGATTTGCGTACTCCAGCCAATCAAGCTATTTTTCGTGTAGAAGCTGGGGTTTGTAAACTCTTCCGTGATATTCTCACAAAGAAAGTATGTTGTCGAATTTTGATTCGCATATTTTTCATTTTTGCGAAAGAGATTGATTTACTACTATTCATATGGTTAATTTGCCAGGGATTTGTGGAAATTCACACACCGAAGATTATCTCTGCAGCTAGTGAAGGTGGTGCTAATGTTTTTACTGTTTCCTACTTCAAAGGATTTGCATACTTGGCCCAGTCCCCACAGTTATACAAGCAAATGGCCATAGCTGCAGATTTCGATAAAGTTTTCACCGTTGGTGCAGGTGTTCTTTTGTAACAATACTATTTCTAGTTTTCTTATTTTTAACTCTTGTTCATCTACATATATTATGTACTCAGTGTTTAGGGCGGAGGATTCCAACACGCACAGGCACTTAACGGAATTTGTAGGACTTGACTTGGAAATGGCATTTAAGTATCACTACCATGAAGTCGTCGATACTATTGGACAAATGTTCACTGAATTGTTCAGAGGATTGCGCGACAAGTCAGTAAAATTATATTAGTGCAATATATGATTGTTAATGTCAAATCATTGTAAGTCAAGTACTTATATCGATGAACAATATTCACAGTTATGCTGATGAGATAGTTGCTGTTAATCAACAATACGCGGTGGAACCATTTAAGTTTCTGGATCCTCCATTAAAATTGGAATTTCCACAGGCTATAGAATTATTAGCTGAATCAGGAGTCATTATCGGATCCGAGGATGATTTATCAACGCCTGACGAGAAGCTTTTAGGAAAACTCGTAAGAGCAAAGGTGGATATGAATATGACATATTTAAAACATGTAAACATACGTTACATAGCCAAACATTAACATCAAAGTTTTATATTGCAGTATGGAACGGACTTCTACATATTGGATAAGTATCCTCTGGCTGTAAGACCTTTTTACACGATGCCCGATCCTAATAATCCTGTAAGTTACATATAAAAGATACTCATGTCTCATTCACATTTTGTAACATTTTACGAACACATGTTGTCATTTCAGAAAGCATCGAATTCTTACGACATGTTTATGCGCGGTGAGGAAATTATATCTGGTGCTCAACGTATCCATGATCCGGATTTTCTAACTGAAAGGGCTAAATATCACGGAATTGGTAAATGTCATTTTTAATGTTGAATATGCATATATTGTATTAAAGTCTACGCTATACTTTAATTACAACATTTATTTCAGACCTTGATAAAATAAAAGCCTATATAGATGCGTTCAGATATGGTTGTCCACCACATGCCGGTGGCGGAATAGGAATGGAGCGGGTGGTTATGTTGTATCTTGGACTAGACAACATAAGGAAAGTTTCGATGTTTCCACGTGATCCCAAACGCTTAACTCCTTAATACAGCCTGTTTTGTAATCTGACTCATGCTTCTGCGAAGCTCAATATTTAGAAGACCCAAAGAGAGGGTACAAATTTGAATGTTTTTAATACTTGATGAGTATAGGCAAAAATGTGTAGACATTTATAATAAATGTAAATTCTCAAAACAATGATTTCTTATTTGACATTTTGCGCTTTACTATCATCTCATAATCTCAATGAATTTTGTAAAGATCTGGAAAGTTTGCAAATAATCCAATCCTTAGCAAATAACACGTAGCCTTTATAAAATCATGGTAATATATGCTAAAGTAAAAAAAAAATAAAATATATTTCCGTACAAAACATGCATATATGTATATACTTTGTGACAAAACTGGTATGCAGAGCCATACGTTATGGGTCAGAGACTTCATTGAATTGTATATATAATTTATAATAATCATATAATTATACAGGGTATTTCATTTTAAATGACTCATTGGAATATCTTACGATCCGAGGATCTAATCGAAAAAAGTTTCCTATAAAAGTGTCATGGTTTCGAGGGGGAAATGTGGAAAAAACATGAAAGAAAATGTAGAATTTGAAATTGTGATTTTACAGTAAGAAACGCTTTTTTTTAATAGAATCATTTTTCTCTTTTCTTTTTTCAAGTTTCTCTGTTAAAAACTCAACCGAGTTATCAGTCGGAGAATTCTACGTCCGTGGCCACCAAGATCTCCAGATCGTACATCCCTCGATTTTTATCTCTGGGGATTTTTGAAAGATTCCGTATATCCTGAACCACAGACGACGCGGGAAGATTTTATGAATCTCATTCGAAACGCGTGCAGGGAGATCCCGCCGTATATTCTGCTGAGCACCGTCGACAGTTTTGGACGGCGAGTACGAATGTGTCAAGCTGTCGACGTGGATGTGTTCGAGCATCTCTATAAGAGACTCTTCTTCATCTCGCCCTTACACACACATACATACATACGCACGCATTATAGAGAGGGTTTCGAGTCGTTAAATAGTACGGAAGTGACAAGCCGTGGAGACTTGATCTCTATGGATTGCACACATGGGATACTATAAATTTTACCTCCTCGCGGTGCATCTTGGGTAACGCTAAAACAATGTTCGTGACTTAACGTCTATTCTCTGCTTCATTTTCAGCACAGAATGCAGAGACTTTCAGAAGAAAACTGAGTTTATCAGATCGCAAATTCTTATACCACACAATTGGACCATAACGTCATTAAAGTACGCTTGCTGTCGCATAAAATACACGTTCCTCCGGCCCCTTAGCTAAATCCATGCATTCTTTATGTAAACAATAACAATGTTAATGCCAAAAATAACATTAGTTAATTAAAAAACGTTCTGGATATTGATTTTAGCTATTCAATTCAAGGAAACATCGTTAACCTTTGAGTTAGTCGAGAAATATTTCCTCTAAAAGTTATAGGTCTTTAACCAAGGAACTTGGAAAAAATGATTCTATTGAAAAAAAGCGTTTCTTGCTGTAAGATCACCATTTAAAATTCTAAATTTTCTTTTATATTTTTCCACATTTCCCCCTCGAAAGCATATATTTTTATCGGAAACGTTTTTCGATTCAGATCGTAAGATATTCTAATGAATCATTTAAAATGGGACACCCTGTATACATCATATATTATATGTTTTCAGAGTGTTTACGACTAACCGCACGTGGGAACATTGTCGAACTCTTCATCAAAAATTAAAAAACACGTGTTTAAGGGTTTGTACTTTTTTAGGTCTAAATTTCGAGATAATTAGGATTAAAGTTTGAGAATATCAGCCGATCAGCGCTACGCTGGGCGAGCTTACCACTAGAATAACACGCCTCATTTCCCACCACTCGCCATCCTAGTCCATTCTCGAATTTATTTTAATCAATTCTTTATGAAATTAGGTATTTAATAATTAGTGAGACATATCTCCATACAAATGAAACGATTGCTTAACAGCAAAAACGGCTATCGTACATAGTATTATTGTTTAATATTTATTGACTCATCAATGAATGGTCTCTGTGCACATTTCTTATGCATTAATTATGTCAATTTTATACTTACGGCTATTCTCATTAGAAATTTTTCATCAAGTATTGATTAACAAAAAATGGAAGGTATGTCTTACTAATTATTAAACTAATTTGATAAAGAATTGATTAAAATTAGTTCTGAGAGGTATTCCGAAAAAGTAGAGTACTAAAGGCCATTCTACAATGCAATATAATAAGTAATAAGGAATAAGAAATAAGCAATAAGATCTTCATTTGATATTTACGTAATTCCATTGGATCCTCCAATCAAGAAGGAGAAAATCGTTTTTAAAACCGAGCGTTTACTAAGTCTCTACGATTTTTATGACGTCTTGGACATAGCAAGGATACGGAAGCGGTTGCTATTGTCTTTAAGGACTTCACGTAGCACGGAACGTGATGAGTAACATCGAGCATGCTCCGTTCCGTAATTTATAACGGCTTACGTTAAAAATACATAGCAACGATACGGAGCGGTTGCTAGGGTCGCTAAGGATTTGACGGAGCACGAAACGTCATTGTCAAATGTCATCACCTGTCACCTAGAGACTTAGTAAACGCTCGGTTTTAAAAACGATTTTCTCCTTCTTGATTGGAGGATCCAATGGAATTACGTAAATATCAAATGAAGATCTTATTGCTTATTTCTTATTCCTTATTACTTATTATATTGCATTGTAGAATGGCCTTTAGTACTCTACTTTTTCGGAATACCTCTCAGAACTAATTTTAATCAATTCTTTATCAAATTAGTTTAATAATTAGTAAGACATACCTTCCATTTTTTGTTAATCAATACTTGATGAAAAATTTCTAAAAGTAAAGCTGTTCGGTACAAAGGGGCAAATACTCTGATACCCTTTCCAAAAGTTTCAACTTTCCAGGTCCAATGGTTTGGGCAGGTCATCTATTATCTCTAAGTTAGTGACTCAGTAGGATTTTATATATAAAAAAGATTAAGTTGTGCATGTAAAACAATAACAGCACTTGCTGTAGTTCAGTATATCCGGTTTCAAAATAACAGATGTGTAAAATAAAATATTTTTTACAAAAGCATGTACATAAGTTATGGCTGCTTATGTTCAATAAAAGAAAACGTTATTCGTTAGGCCATATAATATTAACATTTTATTTATCGTCATGTGGTAATTATAAATTATACAAAATTATATATATCTTGTATTTTGTATATATCCTACCTAGGGTTCATTCATTTCCTCGCTACTGTGTATGAACTTTAATCAATCATTATTAATTACTAAGTGTATAAAGAATCATTACATCGTTCTGTGCAAAGTATCTAGACGATCGAAGCCTTTTCATTCCAGAAATAATTCATTCTCTCTCTCTCTCTCTCTCGCTTTTATGTGAACGAATCCGAAATACCATTAGGGAAACTAAATTGAATAAAATTAATTGACACTAATTGCTGGTTTTGCAAATTAAAAGACGATTAAAATGAGTTCACACGCACACATACTCAGATGAAAGATAAAGCAGAGCAAGCCTTATTAAGTACAGGAATAATAATAATTGCTCAATAATAATGAAAATTCATAATGATTCCGCGATCGAAGTCCACGAAAAATTAAGACCTGTCGTAGAATGAAAATGTTTTTAGGAAAACTGCACTTCCGTCAATTTTCCCGTAGTACACAAAAACATTTAAAAGTTAATAACTAGAAAAGACTTTTTCGCGGTGATAATAAAAGGGCAATATTTTTTAACAAATTAGCAAAGGAATGAAAATTTGCTCAATCGTTTTTTCAATTTTCTTCATTTTCTATAAATACTTCGAATTTCAATGAACGGATTAGAAAGACAAGCAAGATGAAGATGCATCATAAGAATATGGAATTGTTGTTTAAGAAAAATTATTGAGTTGCGTGCGTGTGAATTCACATATATCACAGTTTACTAATTCAACGATAAGTAATAGAATTAATAACTGGTAAAAATGCTTGATATATACACACACGGACATATACATTATAACACATATGTGTGCGCAGTTGTATATAAGATAATTGCTGTCATAACAATGTAGCCATCATTCTCAGCTATATAGTTTACAGCATCTTTAAGGAGGCAATATCACTGCTAAAATGTATCAATTTTTGTTATTATTATTATTATTATTAACGTGTTTTATAAAGATCGAAAACTTATTCATACGTGCATTCTTTGTTATTCTATTACACTATTTCTGTAAATATTGTGTATAACATGTGGCGAGTATGTAAGCTGGCTTTTCTCTTTCCTGACAGCCGACCTCAGAGTTTTTCTTCATGAGTGTGATCTGATGATGACAAAATATACCGTACAATTAAAATTAAATAAAGTGTAGGTGATGTAAAAAAAAAAGGAGCAGATAATAGAATTTTGTACGTGCATATTCCATTACTTTCTCGATTACAGTGCACATCAAACAGGTGAAGCTTCAAAGAATTACGACGTGCAGTTTATATAATGTTGGACAAATATATGGCAGCTAACGTAATTTTTGTAGAAGATGAAAAAGGAAAAACAAGGAACAGAGAGAATAACGAAAATTCTTGAGGAATAGGAATTATAGAAAGATTGCTCTTCTCAAATAATGTGAGAAAAAACTAAAGGCGCGATATCTTTCGTCTTTGACAATGAGTCGTTTTCAAAATATATCATTTGGGAAGAAAATACATCTTGGTGGCCTAGTTAAAACTAAGCCTCCCTATTTCACTGTTACAGCTTAGTTTCAGCTAGACCTTTCGGTATATAATCTAAAAGTGTTGGAAATTCACGCTATGCGAAATAACGAACAAGGAAATATTCTTATAATTTAAGATCAAATTTAATATTAGGGGGAGGCGAAGGGGGAAATGATACATAAGAAATAGAAATTCAGAAACGTTTGACTATTCAAATAGTATTTCTTTTCATTTTAAGATGAAAACAAGTCTTATATCTCGTGAAAATAAAATTTCGTATTTAAAAATAAACTAAGTCGTATTATCATTTCGAAGATTTCATTCATAATAAAACTGCACGCCGTATATATTGTGGTCGTGATCGTCATAGTTATAGTCATCGTCATCATTAGCATCGATGTATCGTCAGTGAATTCACAATCTTTATTAACCCTTCACTAAGAGAAAAGACGAATTGCCAGAAACAAGAAAGGGATTGATAACCAAAAGCGTTCTCAACGATTTGTTGCCTCGTTAATTTCAGCTAAGGGAGAAAAAAGAAGACCGCTTTTTTCCTCCCTTACAAAAGAAATTTTACGAGACAAACATGCAAGTAGGAATTTGTGGGAAAGAGTAACTCTTAGAATTTCTAAATGTTTCAATTCGTTTAAATTCACATTGGTAAGTTCGATACATCTGTCGGGGCGTATTCGGAAACTGCATTAGTGGTAATTCTGACGCATTGCGTCTTTTTTTATCAGCGTTATTATGAGCAAGATGGAATGATACCAGAGTGGGCTCTAGTAAGGTTTTAAACGTATTACTCGCGGCTTTCATTTGCTCGCATCGTTACTTCAACAGGGAAAAATTTATAGAACTTGTCGTCAGGATCAAATTAATAACCGTCCATAATAATGCTGTATCATTCTAGCAGCTTAAATAATAATGACCTCTCTTCTTATAATTTATAAATAAAAGTCTTTTGCCGGGCTCTTTATGCGATTCGCATTCCAATGTATGTATCTGGATATATAATTCGAGAACTACGTCATGCATATCCTAAATCCTAATATTTTTTCATCATTTTTGTCTTTTCTTTGCGATCTACGATAAAGGGAGAAGATAGCAGTTGGATATTTAATGTGTTGTGTAAAGGAGAAAGTGAGAGAACGAGGGAGAATGAGATAAACAGAAATACTGTGACTAAATAAGAAATAATATTTTAGATATCTCTCGCTGTCTAACTGTGTTCCTTTTTCATTATATTCTTTTTTTTCATTCATTATTTCCAATAAGTTCACTTTCTCATTGCCCACACTCTTTTTTTTGCTCTTTATCAGGTAAGACACGTTGTAAATAAACTACATAATCTTTATAGTAAATACGTTTCTATCTACCAACACAGTGTATTCCTGTTTGCGTTTAATATTTTCTGTTATCCGCTATTTCCTATCCATTCTTTCTCTTTTTTCCTATATGTATATCTCGAATGTACGATTATATTCCATACGTCAAATCCTGATTATATGACTACATTAAATTATACATACATATCTCTAGTACGTTTGTGCGTGTAACAGTAAGTAATTATAATATGTATCCCTTTTCTACGTAGACAGATTTAAACCCGTTTATTCTTTAGTCGCATGCAGGCAATTAGTTCTCGATCGAATTTCGTAGGAATACTTCCAAGGGAATTAATATTTCATTAGAAGTATTTTCAGGCAATTGATGTCAAACGTGTACTGACTTCTTGACCAAAAGTATCTTTAGTTACGTTATTTTCTTATTTTCCTTTCTCTTTCTTCGTTTTTTCTTCCTCTTACCAGTGCAACGTGTGTATAAATATACCACTATTTTTGTTTTCGTGTGGACATAAACATTTGCATAGCTAATACCAGTTTTTTTTTCACTATCAGCAACGGGTCAATGACAGAGCACTTAGAATGTGTGCAAATCTTATCTTCTCTCATAATTTTGCATGGTCTTAAAAAATATTGTAGCCCCATTAAACATCACAAGTAACACTCCTTATTCAAATTTCTAGTATTGTGCATACGTTCAAACGTAATTGCGATAAGAGTTGGTGGCAATATGTAAATAAAAAAATGCGTCTGCACAAAACCAAACGACTAAGAGAGCGAATAAATTGTGTACAGAATGTAAAATAAATTTAAAATAAAAGAAGCTTGAGTGAAGACTGTTTAAGGGAATCTTGTTTGTGTGTTAGCTGCTACAATTGAAATATGAAATGCATAACGAATAATAGTGGGATTGTTTGAAACTATATATGAATGTATATAACAAATGAAAAAGGAAGAGATACGACAGTGAAACTTCAGGCGTGGCAGGTAATATGAGAATTTCAAGAAGAAAGAATTACAGTATCGTTAAATAAAAATGCAGCAATATAAATTAAAGACAGTTTCTTGGCTAATAACGCCTTCGAATCAATAACCGTGTTCAGCAGAAACACTCCCGGTTAGCAAATACATTTGAGTGATTTGACCAACCAAATGTATTTGCTTTCTTAGTGGTGTTTCTGGTGATACAGTCAATAACTGCATTCAAGCCGTATCCGAGCACATACTAATAATAGTATATGTCAACTATTTTTTTTTAAATAACCACCGTATGCTGCTTTTTTAAAGCTACCTCCCTCCATAAATTTGAATAAAAATTTTTCTTTCAACAATTAACGAATAAAATAGCTGACTGCACGTTCGACGCATTTATAAAAATAGGGCAATGACTTTTCTCTGGAGTTTTATCCTGATTTTCATGGTGTCCCGATCACACATGTGTCTTTATATATCATTTCCTTGCATCAACATTAGAAAGAATCATTGCAACGATTTGACATCTTTCAATACTTAGTTTGGTAAAAACTAATTTCGACAAGTTATGTATCGTTGACATTTTCATTTTTTCTTACAAATACCTTCCAGATCCAAGCTATCGTTACAATATTCATTGAGCACGCGCAAAAAGATTGCAATACTCTCCGGCCGAGAAATTGCACCCTATTAAATAATTTGTACAAATAAATTTTTGCTCCCTTTTCTACATTAAAACATCTATCTGCAGTTTATCCACGAGTAAAATATATTTTGAAGGAACCATCTCTCTATAACTTTCAACATAAAAGTGCTTGCTAATCCTCACATTCAACTCATGAATCAACTGTACGAATAAGCATCGAATCAATGTTGTTCGAACATCATTGAAACCTTATCCAAAAAAGAATACGATTTATAAAGATGAAAAAATGTTGAAGGAGTAATGACTAATAAAACGAAATATACATGCAATTAGGTACGTGGGGTATCTAGATTACGTAGAGAGGTACGTAGTGAGATAGGTAAATAGGTATGTATGTAAAAGGATACATAATAGAAAAAGGAAAAAAAAGAAGGGGCGATAAACGGATTAATTAAAGTTATACTGCCATAGTCTTGCGACGATGAATACGGTACTTATACCGGTGCGCTAATAAATATATGTGGTCAAAAAACAATCTCATTTGAAACACGTGACTTCTCGCACAAGCTCTTCTTTTACGTTTACGCTTACGTTTAAATTTATATGTACGTTTTCTTTTTATTCATTACGAGGGACATGTAGGAGAACCAGAGGATAATGCAATTGAAAAATAAAAATCTTCATCCTCCATGAAAGACAACCCCAGGAAGATTATAACTTTCTAAAATAAAACCATGAAAAATGCTTTTGTTATAAAATGAAGGTACAGCTAATTGCGGATTGTTTATGAGACTATAATAAATATTACCTCTCTTCAGGGTGAATCTTCAACAATTTGGTTCGGCGACCTCATTAAACAATGGGGTCAGGGAGTCAACGTCTGGGAGACTATCAAAATTCCCAAGGGGTACAAGATCATCCTGATTAGCCGCATCGGCATCCGCCAGGAAACTAGGTTCGAGAAGTTCCGTCACATTGCGACAAACGCTGCTAGAAGTGGAGTTGACATTGTTCGAATCTCCGTGAAGATTTAATGAATTTAGGGTAGGGCTAGAAAGCATTGGTTCATTGCTTTCGGTATAAGTCTCTCGTGGTGGCACTGTATGCAAGGGAGTTGACGGATACGATCTGGAGCCATTTGAATCCTCTGTGTATGTGGCGGGCGTGTATGTTGTAAGTGGCAATGGTAGAGGAGTATTAGGATAAGACCTAGAGTGAATTATCCTGTGCAACGTGCTGCTCATTGAAGGATCAAGAACCGCTGTTGGGTCAAGGATATTCCCATCCGCAAGGTTCAGATTTGAAGTCGGTAATTCCTCTAATATAATAGCATTAGGCTCTAACAATGTCTCCTCGTTCGAATTTTCCGGTAAGATCTGAAGACTTTGAGGAGTCTCTTCATTCAATATATTCAGTATATTTGTTATGTTCTCAGGACTGATTTCTTTGTCTCCTATAAGAAACTGCTGATTAGCAGATATCAGATTAGGATCTACATCCTCCAGTAGAAAGGTATTGTTGTCCGGTGCTCCTCCTATCGGCCCAAAATCATTAAACTCACTAGGAACTGGTGTGGCAGCTACAGAGCTGTTCGTTGAAGGGTTAAAGCTCTGGCTCTGGAGCGCAGTGACGTAATGCTGCGTTGTCGAGAGTGGAGACATTAGAGTTGGATTAACCATCCTATGTAAGGGAACGGATTGAGATCTATAGTACAGCAGCTCGGTGCTGAATGTTTTCCCGTCGTTAAATAATTCACTGATTTCTGGATCTGTTGGCTGATTATTTTTCTGGTAGATGTTTTTAATCTCCTGAAGATTCTCGTGGCTTGGGTAATTTATTAAAAGTTGCATTTGGGGTGCTATATCACTGTGTAATAAAGCTGCTGTATGTTCACTCACTCTTTCCTGTTTTGGAGAAATTCCTATGTTCTGATGTGGTGTATTTAATGTGGGTTGAACTTCTGTGGTTTTAATGTAACTCGTACAAGTTAGAGGTGACTGTGGTGCTGACATCTGTCGGGTTAACTCTGGTCCACTCGTAGGTACTACGAAAGTGTCGTTTCTACTGGAGTATGGCATGTTGCATGATATCGAACGCGATAAGCACTTTTGTGAAGTTCTTGAACGTGAACCACTAGCTTGAATATTACTCCGAGAACGAGGTACCGGGGTATTCCTGGGTGAGACAAAGGGACTGGCATTAGCTGAATTTGGCTTAGAAACTCGGCCATTTATTGGCGAGTGTGGTCCGGGCGATATTGGCGTAAAGTTAAATATACGACGACGTGTATTGGGACTTTGAGGTACGGTGTTCCCAATAGAGATGTTACTTGAATCCTGAATGTGCTCCACTACGTTCATCTCAAAACTCACTCTGCGCCTAGTATTAGCTTGATTCGGATGGTTCAGTAACGTGGGTAGTATCAGACCATGTTTTTGACTGATCTCTCTCTTTTCTGTAGGCTTTTCTATTTTTACATTCATCGCTAACAGAATATCTTCAGGTGGATGAGTAGCAGTACCTGCCTTTAAATTTTGTTGCAGCATCTTTCTTAACTGCGATACCTTATCCGACCGGGATATCTGTTCATTATCCGCAGCAAGATTATTGGCCTCTGCGTCAGAGCTGGATGAACTATTCTGCTGGAAGTACTGCACTAATTCTTCCTCTTGTTCCTGAGAATTATTCCCCCCGTTTAAGTAGTCATCCAACGCATCAGGATCTATTGTACAGAGCTTATCATTCCTATCAATCAAGATCGTGTTGTTTTGTAGTAATCGCATTTGATCCACTGAAGAATTCGTTGAAGGTTCCGTCGAAGACTCCGTTGAGGACCCTGTAGAAGATCCCGTAGAGGGTCCTGTTGATGTATCCGTTGCAAGTGGTCCTGTTGAAAGACGCGGCGTTACTTCTGTATTCATTGAGGTCCTTCCATCGAAGAGATCCGCGGGGCAGCCATTTGACTTGGTGTTATTCTCGGAATAATACGGGTATGTCTTGATATCACAGTTTTTTGAGAGACGCTCAATGGCAGCTCCTTCATTACTTTTGCATTTCATGGCTTGTTTTAGATCACTAGCCGGTATTACAGATATTTTTCCCGGACGCTGTATCGACGAGAGCCTTGGCAAAGACTCGTTAGATTGTTCCATCACGTTCACGAAAGACTGCGAGTCCGCGGCTGCAATTCTCGGCTGTTTATCGGGACTGGACTCCAATGATTGTGTCGGCACATTTGCGTTGGCACGCTTTCTGGAATTTTTCGATTTAACCTCTTTAGGCGAAATCGCACAGCAGCTTGTCACTACTTTAGACTTTCTATTACTCTGCACATCTTCGATCGATTGTAACACTAGATTATCACAGTTTGATTGCAGGGAGACGATGTTGCAGGGAGCATTATTAGTAGACTTGAGAACTTTCTTGTGTCGACTCGAAACAATAGCTGGTAGGTTTATAAGTTTGGTCGGAGCATTATGCCCGGTCGACGCGTTTGTACCTTGCGGTGACTGACTTGTTTTATTTGTCTTGCTTCCCTTGCTTCCTCCTACTCCCTTATTATTATCTACAGTCTTCTCTTTGTTCTGATTCTGAAACAATACAACATACGATTATTTTTAATGAATTCAAATATTATGTTTATGGTCTGGCGACAGTGTGCTTTGCTCATTACCTGTAAAACAGTATCGAGATGTCGATGTTTCTGATCCCGAATGTGTTCGCGTTGTTGTAGCTTACGTTGCAGCTGCAACTTTCCTGTGCTCGGCAAGTTGATCGTTGGTCCTGCAGTCATTTCTAGAAATTCATTCGTTTTGCTTGTCAAATACTCTTTTCAAAGAAAGGATTATTTATTTACAAGGAGGTTGGTCGATTATAGTGAAACGGTTAGAAATTAAACAAGATTTCATTTATTTCTGTGCGATATATTTACTGTAACAGTTTTAAGACGTTTAATACTATCGTTTTTTTTGAAAATTAAGGTTAAACTTAAAAGTTTATATACTCTTGTGTTTTCCACAAAAAAAAAACTATTTTATACATTGAGGGTATCTTATGCAAAAAAAAATCAAGAATTTTTGCGCCGTTTATCATTAGTATTAAAAAATATAGACGTAAATAATAGCTGAAAGTGTTTGGCTATGAATGTTGCCTACCAACTATTCTCGTCATATTGGTTAGTCAACCTCCTGAACAATATTATTTTACTTACCTTTATTAGATGTAACTTGAGTCTCTCCTGACGCATAGAGAATGCATACCGCAGCCAGAGATCTCGTATCTACGCAAAGATTATCTACGAGATGACGTGCTAGAGCGCACAAACTGGGAAATTTCAAACCTAACAATGTCTCAGCCCATTCTCTGATTAATGTTGAAGCTGCTCCTAACATTTCTTCTGTAATATTCTCTTCCATATCTTCATTCTAAAAATCCAGATTACATATAAAAGCTTAATATTTGCACGCATAGTGTTATTATATAACATTACAAGCTCACCAATTGAGCACCAGTCACTGCTGGTAGTGTAGGGGGATCAAGTTTAACTCTTTTGCGCATGCCTGCATAACAATAACGAGAATTTCCACGTGTACCTAGTCTTCGTGGGCGTACCCTGGGATATACTTGTTTCATAATTTTGCCAAAATCAGCTGTAGACACAGGTTTCATGGAGTTTCTTATGCAGAACATACTAGAAAGAAAGATTAATTTAAAGTTCAAATTGTAACATTATATGTTATAGAAACATACTTGTACTCATCGTAAACTTCTTGTTTTGGTAAAGACACATCGGGATCTTCCTCTAGGTGTGTCCTAATCCACATAATAGTCTGATGAATTTCATAACGGTTCCCAAGTGGATTTAACGGTTGCCTCAATGGATCTATTGTTCCCCCAGCATTTGTCATTGACATTGGGAGTTTCAGGTACAACAATAATTTCTCTTCTAGCTTAAGTTGTTCTATTTGTAAAAAGATTTCTTGAACACGACACTTTGAATCCTCACTATCGAAAGAAATAAAGGAACACCACTTTTAGCACCTACAGAACTCACTTTAGCAAAAAGGAATTGGTAGAGCAAAAAATATTATAACAAACCTTATAGTATCCTCGATCATGAGTCGGATTTTCTCATGTTTGCTAGCAGGTGCATGAGCCACAGCGGTGATCCTGGTAGTGAGTATGTCCTGGAGAAGCTCCCCGGCATGAAAGCCGTTCGGGATCCTGGCAGGCATGTTGCCACCAGATGCTTTTTGTTGATTCTGCTGATGCTGTTGTACCTGTCCGGGTGGATGTTGTTTTTGTTGCTGTAGCCTGATCTCTGGACAACCCCCGCCATCGGTGCCAGTACCACTGCCGTCACTGGGTCCCCCATTTTCGCCGCAAACGTCACTTCGCTCCCTTTTGATTTTCCTACCGTCGAACGCGCTACCATCTACACTATGTACAATTTTCGGAGGCTTGCTGAGCGGTGGTTTTGACTGATCATGATTATCAGCACTCATTGTCCCCCGAACTAGTTAATTATATACAATTCTATCACCTCCCGCTGAACGAGAGGACCCTACCATTTTGTCACAGTCAGCTGGACTACTTGTTAACATTGCTCTCACGGTGATCGCATGTACTATATCAGATGCTCCACTCGGCCGGCTTAAAGAATCACCGAAATACAAAAACTATACTCTATTTTACAATTAATTATTATTTGATAAGTGCATCTTTGCGATAGCTTTTTACTAAATTTATAATTTTTTACGTAGCAAAGAAACCTGGAATGATACTCTTACTAAAGATACTCCCGGAGTGGAGTATCTGTAGGGTAACTTTAGAGAGGTTTGCGTCAATACTTTAAAAAGCATAGAATAGATGCTTGAATATGAGAGAGGATACTTACATTTGAAATTTTCATGAATTTTTCCAAACATCGCTGAAAACACATTCAGTGACAGCTGGAATTAGTCTTAAACTATTTTAATTGGGAGTATTTTATTACTATTAGCTTTTTCTATTAATGAAAAATTTATATGACTACTATAAGTTGGTTATCTACCACCTTATATTATGTTTTTGTTAATTAATTATCTTTAATCCATCATTTATAAGTGTGATATTGTAGCTGTAATCTTTTTAAACAAAGGAAATCTACACAGTTCGTAATCAATCATTCCGAGTCTTCCTTCCACTCGAAGAAATTCTCTAAAAAAATTCATGAGAGAAGATTTATAACTCAGAGACTATTTAAATGTATACGAGTTTTTTTTATAGAATAAATATAAATATATAGAAGAATGGTTTAGTCCCCAGAAAGGAGTAAGAGCCCAAGGCTGCTCAGATCGCCGTATTTCTTGTTTTCTCCGACGTTAATCAAAGTATAATTTCAGAGGATCGATTGTGTAACTCAAATGTACTGAAAATACGAAAAATGAATAGCTGTTAGCTAACGTTGTTTTTGTCTTCTTTTGAACCTAACACCCGATTTACTAACAGCTATTCACTTTTCGTATTTCCCCTACATTTGAGTTACACAATCGACTCCCAGGTTATTCTATCTTAAAACTATGGCTTAGTTTCCAATGTGAAGAGTTTCAACAGCATTAACCAATCATGTATAGGAGTTGAATGGAATTGACCAATAAAGCTGCTTGACTCTGTTTAAACTCTGCATGGTGGAAACTAGTAGCCGTATTCACAGAGATGAGTAGGGAGAATGCCCATGCGCCTGTTCTTGGTGGTCTCAATTTTTCTCTGGTTTCGGCGCGCCACCTTGGCGGAGGGCCCTCGAAGCAGTTCCACGTTTTTGATTGGTCGTGTATATATAGTAATACTACGCGTGATAATCTGGAGCTGTGTTTTGGCCCGACGACGCGCCACCTGAACGAGACTCTCGAACTAGTTGCACGTTTTAGATTGATCGAATGAATTCATGTGTTCCTCGAGATCCACGATTTTAAACCGGGTGAACACTCAAATAGGGAGACTTGAATCCATCCTTTCTTACTGCATATTACATAAACCGTAGTAATGAGCTAGTAAATTTTGCCGATGTTAATTCCCTTAATATCCATATGAAGCTTTGTAAATAATAGAGTGAGCAAATAAAACTTTAAACAAACCCTCGAACGTGAGTAACTACAGAAATATAAAGCTTCCAATTTCTACAGCACAATCGCTCGATAGCGTACGTGCTTGATGCTGGGTTAACGTCCGAGAATCTCGAGTTCGGTACTCCCGTCTCATCCCTTATTTTTTCTTAATTATCAACTATGCTTATTGGTTCACCTAGTTAAATTAAGATTCATTAAAAATATGATTATATTAGTCTACAAATATTGTATTATATTACATCGTATACATCCAATAAATTGGTACATCAAACAGCGAACGTTCCTTCTTCCCGAGAGCCTACCTGTGGCAAACACCTATATTACGCTGTTTCATGTTTTAATAGCAGAAATAATATTTAGACAGATAAAGAAGGCATTACGGAAAATTACCAAAAACAAAAATGCACTTATAAATCTCGGGCATAAAAATAATGATGAGCATATCAAAATGAACCAATTATTTTCTATAGTGAGATGAAACAAATAATATATCTGGTTAGGGATTTTTTTTTCATTTAATTTTTACCATTCAAGGCTA